TTGGGGCTTTCTGTGGCCTCCTGAGGCCTCCTGGGGCCTCGTGTGGCCCCTGGGGCCTCCTGGAGCCTCTTGGGGCCTCCTAGGGAGGATTCGTGCCCCAGGAGAGGCCCAATCTATAGGAACAGACGTACATAACACATTGCGAGCAGGAGGAAGAGGTGGAGTAGGAGTAGGAATAGGAGTAGGAGTCAAGCTAGCCAGCTCGAGCGAGTCAAGCATGGCATGCCCAGTCCCACCCGCCCTCCCACAACATAAGAAGCAAAGCTGGCACAACTGGGGCCGAAGTCACACCGGCCAGCCGGTTTGGTACAGCTGATGCGGCCGCGATGGCGGTTGCCGACGGGAAATGGCGAGCGCGTGTTGAATGCCGCGCACGCATTGCCAGACGAGTCGAGAATGGCCCGGTACACCGCAGGAAGCCAGAGGTGGCCGGAGGAAACCCGACGGTCTGACAGGACATCCCAAAGCATTTTTGTGAAAAAAGCATTTGGTTTTTGATGTTTTTATGTTGAAATGCTTGCAAACACACGGTGTTCGGTAGGATTCTGACATGAACGCGCGAGTGTCTCTTTGTGGTATTTTTTGCACAGGATTCGCGGCCTGGGTGCATGACAGAGCATCGCGAGTGCACCGCGCGATGACGTGAAATCGCTGGATTTGACAGAATTCTTAAGATTCCTATGGTTTTCCTATGATTTCAGCAAGAGAGCCCGGGCGGGAAATTTGTACAATTATTGTGACAGAGCATTGGGTTTTTGATGTTTTTATGTTGAAATGCTTGCAAACACACGGTGTTCGGTAGGATTCTGGCATGAACGCGCGCGTGTGCTCTTTGTGGTATTTTTTGCAATGGATTATCGCCGTGGACGACAGGACGTCCATGTCGAGAGGAAAAAATAAGAAAAATATTTATTTTTTATTGTTTTTTTACAGGTTAGGATGGGACCGCCCGGATGTGGCCCCTATCGGCCGGCCTGAGGGGGGAGTAGGAGTATATTCCAATAAGGAATAAATGAGTTAGGAGTAAGGAAGTAGTAGTAGTAGTAGTAGTAGGAGTGGGAGTAGGAGTAGGAGTAGGAGTAGGAGTAGGAGTCAAGCTAGCCAGCTCGAGCGAGTCAAGCATGGCATGCCCAGTCCCACCCGCCCTCCCACAACATAAAAAGCAAAGCTGGCACAACTGGGGGCCGAAGTCACACCGGCCAGCCGGTTTGGTACAGCTGATGCGGTCGCGATGGCGGTTGCCGACGGGAACTGGCGAGCGCGTGTTGAATGCCGCGCACGCAATGCCAGACGAGTCGAGAATGGCCCGGTACACCGCAGGAAGCCAGAGGTGGCCGGAGGAAGCCCGACGGTCTGACAGGACACCCCAAAGCATTTTTGTGAAAAAGCATTGGGTTTTTGATGTTTTTATGTTAAAATGCTTGCAAACACACGGTGTTCGGCAGGATTCTGACATGAACGCGCGAGTGTGCTCTTTGTTGTATTTTTTGCACAGGATTCGCGGCCTGGGTGCATGACAGAGCATCGCGAGTGCACCGCGCGATGACGTGAAATCGCTGGATTTGACCGAATTCTTAAGATTCCTATGGTTTTCCCATGATTTCCGCAAGAGAGCCCGGGCAGGAAATTTGTAGAATTTTTATATAAAAAAACATTGGGTTTTTGATGTTTTTATGTTGAAATGCTTGCAAACACACGGTGTTCGGTAGGATTCTGACATGAACGCGCGCGTGTGCTCTTTGTGGTAATTTTTTGCAATGGATTATCGCCGTGGACGACAGGACGTCCATGTCGAGAGGAAAAAATAAGAAACATGTTGATTTTGTATTGTTTTTTACAGGTTAGGATGGGACCCCCCGGATGCGGCCCCTAATGGCCGGCCTGAGGGGGGAGTGGAGTATATTCTAATAAGGAATAAGGATAGGAGTCAAGCTAGCCAGCTCGAGCGAGTCAAGCATGGCATGCCCAGTCCCACCCGCCCTCCCACAACATAAGAAGCAAAGCTGGCACAACTGGGGGCCGATGTCACACCGGCCAGCCGGTTTGGTACAGCTGATGCGGCCGCGATGGCGGTTGCCGACGGGAACTGGCGAGCGCGTGTTGAATGCCGCTCACGCATTGCCAGACGAGTCGAGAATGGCCCGGTACACCGCAGGAAGCCAGAGGTGGCCGGAGGAAGCCCGACGGTCTGACAGGACACACCCAAAGCATTTTTGTGAAAAGCATTGGGTTTTTGATGTTTTTATGTTGAAATGCTTGCAAACACACGGTGTTCGGTAGGATTCTGACATGAACGCGCGAGTGTGCTCTTTGTGGTATTTTTTGCAACAGGATTCGCGGCCTGGGTGCATGACAGAGCATCGCGAGTGCACCGCGCGATGACGTGAAATCGCTGGATTTGACCGAATTCTTAAGATTCCTATGGTTTTCCTATGATTTCAGCAAGAGAGCCCGGGCGGGAAATTTGTACAATTTTTGTGAAAAAAGCATTGGGTTCTTGATGTTTTTATGTTGAAATGCTTGCAAACACACGGTGTTCGGTAGGATTCTGACATGAACGCGCGCGTGTGCTCTTTGTGGTATTTTTTGCAATGGATTATCGCCGTGGACGACAGGACGTCCATGTCGAGAGGAAAAAATAAGAAACATGCTGATTTTGTATTGTTTTTTACAGGTTAGATGGGACCACCCGGCGGGATGGGGCGATGCGCCCCTATCGCCGGCCACATCGGCCCCCAGGAGTATATTCTAATTAAGAATAAAGGAATTAGGGTAGATGTAGCAGTAGGAGTCAGCTTAGCCAGCTCGAGCCAGTCAAGCATGGCATGCCCAGTCCCACCCGCCCTCCCACAACATAAGAAGCAAAGCTGGCACAACTGGGGGCCGAAGTCACACCGGCCAGCCGGTTTGGTACAGCTGATGCGGCCGCGATGGCGGTTGCCGACGGGAACTGGCGAGCGCGTGTTGAATGCCGCGCACGCATTGCCAGACGAGTCGAGAATGGCCCTGTACACCGCAGGAAGCCAGAGGTGGCCGGAGGAAGCCCGACGGTCTGACAGGACACCCCAAAGCATTTTTGTGAAAAAGCATTGGGTTTTTGATGTTTTTATGTTGAAATGCTTGCAAACACACGGTGTTCGGTAGGATTCTGACATGAACGCGCGAGTGCGCTCTTTGTTGTATTTTTTGCACAGGATTCGCGGCCTGGGTGCATGACAGTTCATCGCGAGTGCACCGCGCGATGACGTGAAATCGCTGGATTTGATTGAATTCTTAAGATTTCCTGATCTTACTTTGTTGTATTAACTAATGGTTTTTCTTCTTTTTATATTTTCAGGCATTTAATGATTTCAGCAAGAGAGCTTCCGGGCG